TGATGAAACGATCTTTCTTTCCACAGTCTCGCAACATAAAGAAATCCTTGAAAGTGTTCTCAACACAACGACACTTGACTTCAACACATTTTGCGCTAAGATGTGTAATTATCGCTGTTTAATATATGCAAAAGCGAAAATGGATGTGACCTACTTGGGGCCAAGCATTGCGCTGGGGCTACATCGAGGGTACTTACAGTATGACTTAATTTTAAAACATGTGCTATGATAAATTGACTCAAATTTGCCTGAATTTTCTTTCTTTTGTCTTCGGTGGCGGAGAAATTTTGAGATTATGAAATTGAATGTGAAAGGACATTTGAAGAGGTGGTTGTGAAAGCACTGGCACAAACTTGTTTATCAGATAACGTAAATGTCAAAATACTATGAAACGTCGCATTGAATTTGTTGCAAATTAGATGGACATCATGGACTTTGAACAGTTTATACAGCCAGCCTGCATTTGAATACAGTTATGCTGTTATGTACTCTGGAGGATCCTGTTTTCTTTGTGGATTCAAATTTGGAGGATGGATAGAATTACAGTTGTAATAAAACGGCTATAAACGTGGCGCCGCTGTATCGGCAAGGAGATGATGAAGCGAGACTTTCTACAGTCTCGCATTACATCTTGACACAATGACACTTGACTTCAACACATTTTGCAGTATTAGCCACTGTTCCGAGCTATTTGATGTGCGATTGTTTTACGATTTGTAGCGGATAATTATGAATGTAAATTGCCGTAACTAGCGTGCGCAGGTATGTAAAATCCTCACATTTCAAATTTGTTTTATTTTGTCCCAGTGATGATAGCCATGGATGTTTTACGGAAACTAGTGCTGTTATTCGTAATTATTAAGCGTGTACAACTCTTGATAAGTAGAGTTGTGCCAGTATGGAGAAAATATATATTTAGAAATGCTACTTTTTCACCCGGTCGATTAGCCGCGTATTTATAGTCGGCACTATCTCCAAGTTGTTTTAAGACATCCAAAGTTTGAGTTCATAAATGCTGAGTTAGTGTAATAAACTGCAGGCCTGCAGAGTATATCTCGGATTGAATCATTTTTGAGAGCGCGAGAACGTGACAAAGATGACTAATTTTTGTGTGTTGCAGCGATGCTAATTTCGTGCTTCGACGTACACACGTAAAATTGCCCAAATATCGAAATCTTTTGAAATTTGAAACAAACCCCTTTTGTATTGATGATAAGCAAGGGTTTCTTAATCCACACACAAAGTTTAAGGCTGGGTTTATTTTTGAACCAGTATCGAGTGGTCGGAAATTACAGAGACGGACTCTTAAAATCGCAATACCCGCATTGTGTTTTGCATGTGTAGCGCCTTATTCAAGTATCGTCATTTGATTGGATCACAATAATCAGGTTATTATTATTATTATTATTATTGATCTTTAAACACGGTAACCTTTCACATAGGTGATTTTCAAAGGGCCGTGCGGAAAATAAATGCATTATAAAAGAAGGAACTAATAAACTAAATTATACTTATTTACAAAATATACTTATTTACTTATTTACAAGATGTAATTATTTAATAGATGATGGACAGATTTTAAACTTGTTGACTCTCTTAGGGTTTTCAACAAGTTTACTGGGATGTTGTTCCAATACGCTGCTCCTCTGTACGAAAAGCTATTTTTCAAGAAATTCGTTTTTGGTTTAGGTTGAGACAGCTTTAAATTACTACTGCGCAGTACGTAACCATTGTTTTCGCAAGTGTGAAATAGTTGTGTTACGTATTCTGGAAGCATGCCATTAATCGCTTTAAATGTCATAAGGAGATCTCGCTTTTTCAAAACTAAGTCAAGAGGTTTCCAGCTAAGTTTTTGAAAAATGTCCGAAGATCTTATAGTATAGTCCGAATTTGTTATTATTCTTGCTGCTCGTTTCTGAAGCTTATATAATTTGTCTAAGTGTGTTTGGTTGTTATTTTGCCAAACAGTTGAACAGTAGTTAAAATGAGGCGCGACTAATGCGTTATACATACAGGTGATATTAATCAGAAGTTTCCTTTTCGCTGACCATTCCACGGTTCAACTATGGATTAAAAAAGTGCATAAAATTCAATTTTGTTGGTTGGAAAGTTTGGAGTATATACTGTAATTACGTGTTTATTTTATAATTAACTCATTTTTCAATATTCAATTATTCAATATTTAACAATCTACGAGTGTTTTATCACACCAAACATTTTGGTACAGTGGTGTGCCCTGCAACATGCGCAAAACAAGTGGATCGCAAGCGCGAAGACTTACACTATTTTTTTAATAAATGCGAAGGTTTACAAACTAACTGACTAGCAGAATAACAAACTCATGCAGCGAATATTTAACAATTATTCGCCGAAGGCGAGGTGATTATCGGTGAATATAAACCGAGACGAAGTCGAGGTTTTTATTGATGATAACCGCCAGGCCTGAGGTGATTAATTGTTTTGGTATAATTTTATAAATGATTATTTGGAAGAAAATTAAAACATACACATTTCTTCGTCATTTAATTGACAAAACGGCTTCGGCCGCCATTTCGAATATCGCTCAGGTGATTATCGCGTTATAATCACCTCAACGGCTACTATAATCAGCGTGGACAATTTTCAATAATCATCTATGTAATTTTACTAAAAAGTGATACCTAGGGTCGTCAAGCCATTGAAGACCCTAGTTCTTTTCAGAACTCTTGCATGGGTCCGAGCTGCAACAGCCCTGAAGATAATGGCAACAGTGCGCTTTCATCGACTATGACTAAAAAAAATTTTCTGCCTCGACAACTTCTCACTGATTTCAAGACGAATCGAAGCAAGACATCCTCAATGCCGACGCGAAGTTTTGGACAAAATCAGTGCGAAAACTGCCTCCGTTCACCCACGAGAAGCTGGAGTATAAGCTGGTGAAGAACCGCAGTACAAAGTCAGATAAAACATCCAGAAATAGAACACGTAAGACTGCCACCATCTCCACCTCTTTTACTCGTACACTCGTACTAGTCGATGAAAGCCGTCACTTTTAGGGCTGTCAAAGCAGTCAAACCTCTGAAGACCCGCGCAAGAGTTCTGAAAAGAACCAGTGTCTTCATTGACTTGAACAGCCATTTTAGGAGAGGCGCTGCGATCTGGACCCCATTCCCCCTGGGATGTTATGGTAACATGAATAGATGATCATTTTATTCTTTTTATATTTTTTAAAATTGAAAAACACCCTTAAGTTATCACTATGTAATTATTATGAACAAGTCATATATTATTAGCACTGATGAAGATCCGGGCTTACGGATCGAAAGCTTTGCAGTAATAAATTTACGTGGTGTTTCCACAAACAAAACTATTATATGTTTTATCGCCATGCAAACGTACAAAGAACTTATATGTAATTATTGTTGTGGGACACCTATGTATTCGTTACCAGGATTTATGATAAAGTGTGTGTTCGGCATGGTCACAGAGTAATTACATACAGAGGTCTCACTTCTGCAAAGACCATAAAGTAATTCTTACTGCTCATATCTGGCGGCCATGTTTTTAGCAGGTGCCCTAAAGAGAGGCATTCATCTCCTGGAACGTTAAATTTCAGTATGTTTTCAGGGTAGTGACGGCCTCTCTTTAGGGCACTTATTATAAATAATAGCATGGCATTTTAAATGTACCCGAAAGCCGAGAGAGGTTTAGTAAACCTCTCGAGGCTTTCGGGTACATATAAATACTAATCAACCGTAATGCCAATATCATAGCGACCGAGACAATAAAACGGTTTCATTCGCGCGTTTGCTTTTTGATACTAATGACTGTTGGGATGTTCGTTAATGAGGTTACGGTTGATTTTTCATGTCTGTTAAATAAAGAGCTTATGCATAAAGATGAGTGACGATTAGTAACTAATCGTCCCATGGGATGATTAGTTTCTAATCGTCCCTCATGTTTTCGCAATGAGGCAAATTAGTCATTAATCGTCCCTCGCGAAACAAAGGATTTCGAGGTATGTATAGCTATGATATTACTGTACTAAGAACATGGCGGATTGGAAAAATTCCTTACGCTAAATTAACCTGAAGTATGTATAAATTACTCTGTGGCATGGTCTAGTAAATTTTATATAATAACCTTAAGAATTCGTGCGATTTCATTGGTCGAGAGCCATGATCTATTAGAGGACAGACGCATGGAATACATGATTAGTTCGAAAATATTTGAAAATTCCATTGAATTTATACAAATTGAATGAATTCATGCAATTAAATATATAAACATCAATAAATACCTGGCTCATGACTGATCTCAAATGTACTGCTGCCAATACATAGGAGGCCCAATAGATGGTTGTAATGGGCACAGAAAGAGGACTAAAATGGTTTAAAATTCAATAAAAATTCATAATGTTACCATGAAAATATTCTAGCAACTGTTTTTGTAGCCATAGGTGTTTACTTAAATCATGCGAGGCTGAATCTTGCGTTGTGAATGCAGACATGCGCAGTGGCGTATAAGTCCTTATTATTAGAGGAAGGAAGGAAACTCTTTTGCCGACATCCACACACATGCTCACTTCACAAGCATGACGATTTCACATTACTGTTTAATAACTACTGTTGAACTAATTCGTGTTCTCCGCTGGCTTTAACTAACTTGAGATTGACTTCTCCAGGTGTTGCCATAGGCTTGCATTCACTCATATTGAACTGTTCAAGCCCAACTTCAAGGACGCTCTCAATGTATGATGTATCTATCTTGATCTATTGTGATCATGTTCTCGGATCTTAAAATTCACATTCCCAAGAACCAGTGTAAAATCTTGAAATTCTCTTTCAGCATCGACTTGATTGCATCAATGACTTCATCGTTGACTCCTGCTACTACGATATCGTCAACCCATACAAATACGTACGAGAATGTGCCATCTGCTTCTTTTCTTACAAGGAGACAATAGTCATTGCGACTTCGCTGATAACCTTTGCTGATGAGGAGGTTGCTACTGCTTCATATCAATTCCTTGCTGCTTGCTTAAGACCATAGATAGATTTATTTAATTTGCACACTAGTTTCTGTCCGTTTTCTCCTTGCTTGACAAAACCTTCGGGTTGCTCAAGATAAATTTCTTCTTCAATGATTGAGTGAAGATAAGCTGATTTTTCATCCATTTGACCAAGATGTAGATCTTTCTGTGCAATTGCTAACAAGATTCTGAAAGTCTCTGGTTTGCATGTAGGGGCGTATAAGTATCGAAAAAGTCCAAGCCTTCGACTTGAGCGAAACCTTTTGCAGTTTTGCTACACATCTAGCTTTGTACTTAACAATTTGACCATCTGCTCCATACTTGACTTTGTATACCCATTTTCCAGGTAAAACTTTTCTATCTTTCTGTTCTTGAACAAGTGTCCAAGTGTTATTGTTCTCAAGCGATTCGAATTCTGCTTGCATTGCTTGTTCCCATATTTAATTTGTGTTGAACTTACAGCTTCTTTGTACGTTTTCGGTTCTGTGACGGTTTCTTCTTGAGTTGTTTTGAAAGTAAAGGGATTACCATATCTTTCGGGAGGTCGTCTATTTCCATTTGCTCTTGGAATTAATGTTTCTTCTTCATCAATATCTTTTTAATCATCCTCTCCAAAATTGACTCTTCTGGTCTAGAATTCTCCTTTGCTGAGAATGACTGAATTTCATCTTCTTTGGAGAGAACGTTACGGGCTTTGATTATTTTTTGGGAATATGAATGAAGGTGACTGCATATTTTGACCCATTTAGACTAGCTACTTCGAAAGGACCGAGACTGTCTGAATGAACAAGTTCGAGAGCTTTCTGAGCTTTGGTTTGTACTTCTTTTGGTACTGGTTTGCTTACTTTTTCCCATTGCACAGGTTTTGAGTTATTCTTACATCCAATAGTGCACTCTACATCGACTTTGTTGAGATGCCCCAGGCGTGTGTGCCATAAATTGATATCTCCTTTGATATCTCCTTCGCTCGTGTTGCAAGTGACTGGGTCGATTAGGTTTGGAAAGGTGACAGGAAGATCAGACCAGTGTCTTTCTTTAAGTTAATTTCAAGACCATCATTCAACCAGACCTGGAAAAAGTGTTCGATGTTCCTCGGATCCTGAATTTGCCTTTTTCAAATGTTCCTCAATTATATTGGTTGTAAAATTGCTGAGGAAACAAAACAATCTTCAAATTCTATCAACAGGATATGAAGAACACTTCGCAATCTCAAAATAGACACAAATGGCAGTTAACTAAATATGATTCCTTAAAATTCTCTCTTAAAGTACGCGTGAAAAATTCAAAATGTTCCTCAATCTTGTTGCTAAGGCAAATGTTCCTCAGGATCCAGGATCCTGAGATCCCACTTTTTCCAGGTCTGCATTCAACACCATTCTTACTTTACTCTCGTGAAATATGAATCTATGACCAAAACTAACGACTGTTTTGACTGAAAGGAGGTTTACCTGACAGCTTGGTATGTAAAGAACATTTCTTAGGACCATTTCTGCCATCTTTCCATCCTTTAACTGGACCGTTATTGGTACGTCACCAATTCTTTCAACAGGTGCGAGGCTTCCTTTTGGATCTCTAACGCTCTTTTCATTATGAGAAAGTAGATTTTGAAGAAATTCTTTTGATATGTACAACCAGTGTCCACGATTAGATAATTTGATTTTTCTGAGCCATTCTTGCAAATGACTTACGAAACAATTGGAATAAGACGAGACTGCATGTGTTTCTTTTCCTTGAGATTTTTCTGTTTTTCCAGAACTTCTACAAGCTTTTGCCAAGTGGCCTCTTTTCGTGCATATAGAACATGTTGCTAAGCTCCTTTTATTACATCATTTTGCGAAATGTCCTGGATTTCCACAAACATAGATTTTTTTTCATCTGCGGTGCCGAACTCTTATTTCTAGTTTGTCTATTTGAAGAATGCATTGCCACTAACGAATTATCTTCCGTTTGATTTCTTTGTATTCGACTGTCTTCATAATTTTTCAGTCGGGTTCTTAGTTCAGTAAATGTCGACGCTGGATTAAAAATTTCTTGTACAACAAAATGTTCGTATTTGTCTGGAAGACATTAATAATTAATGTATTAAACAGTGTTTCTGATATTTTCTCACCAGCTTCAGATAGTCTAGACAGAAGAACGTATAAAATATTCGTGTATTTTTTCATCTTCTCCGAGCTGTAAACACGATAATTGTCTCACTAGACTTACTACGGTAGGCTTTTCCACGTTTGAATAACGTTGCTGTGGTAAACGCTACGCTTTTGCTCCATCAACCGTTCCATCTGGGGACAAACAATCATATCCAATATACATAAAGACTTAGTTTGTCTGGTGCCAACGCAATATGACACCAAACGTTATTCTTTCCCTTGTCAATTTCTTTAATTTGTTGATTTCGTTGCTCTCCTTGAGCTTCCCATTCTGCTCTTTCTTCGGCTGTGGCTGCTTCGGTTAACGGAGTGACTTCTGGCATTAAAACTTCCTTATCGAGAAGCGACTTATACAATCCTTTTGTTTACATATACACCATAAATTTCGTATTCCATGCTGGATAATCCTCAGCTAAACCAGTGAAACATATGTCTTTATAGTGTGACTGTCCATTTTGGAATCTCCAGGGCCCATAACCTGTTATCTTTTATAGTTTTATTGTAAAAAAAACCGCTTTAAAGTGACTTCATGTTTATAAATATGCCTTTTATAAAAACGTGCAACGAACAAGAACGTTTTTCAATAATGTCATCACGTGTTAAGGTCACGTGTCATTCTATATCAATGAATATAAACAATGTTCCTAATTTGTCCTTATATGTTCATATGTATACTAGTATATCTTAATTAACGTATATAGCGGCTTTATTGACCTTCTTTCTCTGTTACTTGAAAGAGAATTCTTGGGACGTCATGGCAGCCATGTTGGAGGAACGCTAACAAAAAAATCCATTAGCAGCTACTGTATTTGGAACGTGTTTTCCTTCATCATGGCCACCATATCTTTGTTTTTATATATCTCGAAGGATTGATTGCAAACCACCAATAGATACCATAAACTTCGCGACATGTGTAAATTATTATTAACCTTCATTGAAGATGACCTTTTTCAAATAGTGGCGGCAATTCCTCCACTGTATTGACGTACATTCATGGCAGAGATACGAAGATGCCAGAAACCATCGTATATATGCCAGAGTGTCCACGGACCTTGAAAATCCTGGATAGTCCTTGAATTTGAAAAAAAATCCAGGACTGGAAAGTCCTTGAAAATCAGTAGAAGTCCTTGAAAGTCCTGGAATTAATTTCCTTAACCTCCAGCTGTGCCAACATTAGTGATTTTGATTAAAATTACTGAATGGCCGGAAACGCCGCCCACCGGGCTGGCAAGTCTATTTCAATTTCGTGTCACGACACACACAGAATGTACCGGAAACGTAACACACGTGCTACACCATAACTATCGAGTAAATACAGAACCAAAGCATATTCCTGTTATATCCACCACCTCTGTTGACACTAAGATAACTCAAAAACATAGATCGAGAAACCTGAATAATTTTATTGAAATCCCCTTAGAAACCCCAGCCAGAACCGCAAATATTAGGTCAAAATTTGCATATCTTCCTGCCTTTTTACTTTCAAATGTGATGTCGCTGGCCCCGAAAATTGACGACGTGCGTGACGTCATATACCGAGGAAATTACGACTTTGTTAGTTTGGTCGAGACTTGGCTGCAGGGCCACATTCACGACAACGTTGTCGACATACAAGGATATAACCTTATTCGCAGAGACAGGTGCGAACGTCAACATGGCGGGGTCTGTATATATATTAAAGATACTATAGAATTTTCAGTGTTAGATGAATTATTTGACAGTTTATTCGAAGTATTATGGATTAACATGCGTCCAACCCGACTGCCGAGGGGATTTACTAATTTGATTGTTGGAACAGTGTATCACCCACCAAGTGCGGAAAATGCAGCTATGCTGAATTATCTATCAAACTGCTTATCAGTAATGGAATCGCGTTTCCGTAATTGTGGCTTTATTATCCTTGGTGATTTTAATAAACTTAATACCTCACGTCTAAGAACTGGCTATGATTTAAAACAGCTTGTCAATTTTCCAACCCGCGGAAACAATACCCTTGACATTGTTTTAACAAATCTTAACGCATTCTTTGATAAACCTACTAAGTGTGCCCCCTTTGGGTTATCAGACCATATGTCTATTGAGGTGAGACCAGTCGAGCGTCGTAATATCCAAGAAAAGTCAAAACTTACGGTAAAAACGAGGGACTTGCGGCCTAGTTCCCGTCTTGCAATGTGTAAATATCTTGAGCTTGTAGATATCCCAGAAATGCTTAGCAGAGTTGATTCTTGTGATGAAAAAGCCTCGCTTCTGGAAACTATTGTTAAAACTGGCTTAGATTATGTCCTCCCATTACGAAGGAAAAAGATTAAATCTAACGATCCGCCCTGGCTGAACTCGACACTAAAGAGCCTTATTATAAATCGTCAAAAAGCTCTCAACCAGGGAAATATCGAGGAGTTCAAACGTTTGAGGAACCAAGT